GAAACACTGGTTATTTCCCCTTGATACCCAGCATCAGATATAAGCTATAAAAATCAAAACATCACAGAAATCTTGTTATTTACACTTATATTTCTAATATCCTAACAAACCTAGAAGAACACACAGAATCTAAGTTTCACCTCTGCATACACAGACTGGAATTCACATTTATATTGTGGTCTACAGAAAAGGAAACCAATAAAGATGCAGCAAAAATAAAGCACAATTAATAAGAAATGTAGCAGAGAACACCAAAGTATAACATTCCTTTCTCGTCACAGAAGCATACAAAACTGACTGAGATGTTCCACTGCACCAGAAATCCAGAATTTTCAAACATAGATCAGAGGAAAACAAACAAACAAGAAAGAAAGAGAAAACCCCCACACCTCATCAAAAACTAAGAATACTTTTAACTGGGAAATTACACTTACTGCAACCTGTAGCACAAGTACTCCCACCAAGGTGTACCTTTACTAATTAGTATTAGCAGGAATAAATACAAGACACAGGCAAGACCACAACTAATATTTGATGCCAGAACAATTAGCCCTCTATGGATATTCTTAATCATCAGACTTAAGTACAGTACCTTCACAGTAAAATTAAGCATTAAACAATCGGGATGGGCTTCTGCCAATTTGTAAAAAAGATCTCTCCACGTGGTATGTGCTATCATTTGCTCAAGCCAGGCTGGAGTCTGAAAAGAATAGAGCAACAGAAAGAAATTTACGAATATTTGTCAGGATGATAAAAAGCAAGGCTTTTACCTTTCAGCAGTCCTGTAAGTTGTCCTAGAGCTTTATTACAAAGGAGGATGCATTCCAAATTTCCAAGTTCTCTAAACCTCTGAGGACTCCAGTGAGACAGAGCTGGTTTTCTGAAACCAGTTGTTCCTCAGCCAAAGAGCTTTGAAGATTCAATTTCCCTCCATCACTCCATCAGATGAAGGCGTCTATTAAGGACCCACTGTAGAGACAGCAACAGGGATTCCATGCACACCTCTCCTTCCTCTGTAAAGATGGAATCTGCTTTCCGAGGGTCAAAGTGCTTGATCAGTAAGCTCTTCAAGTGGTTCTCTACAGTCTCCTGAACTTGCATTGGCTCAACACCTGCACAGAAGGAACAAAATAGATGCATTGGCAGATTCAATGCAGTCCAATGGAACACAGCAGCAGCATCCCACATTTTTCAATGAGAACAGAAACTACTCCAAAATTTATCAACACAGAGAAGATGAGAGGAGAGCCATCTGTTCTACCATTGAGCCACACTGATACATATTTACAGATTTTCAACCTTTTTTTCCTAAATGCTAAACTGTTTAGGATCTCAGACAGGTTACAACCTTCCTCTTGTTCTCCTCATCAGACACACAAAGAGCAATGCCAGTCATCCCCAGGACTGTTACTGGTGCAACAGCAAAATGCAGGGGGGTACCTTAATCAAAAAAGGGATTACCAGGGCTGGGGCACAAACCCACATGATTACACACTGAAGTTTATCCTTTTAAATATTGGTTGTCAGTAGCTTTGATAGTATTCTACAAAATAATACACAAATAGCAATGAGTAATTCTACATTTCTGAAATCAAGAGTACAATAATTCTGGTAATGTAATAATGATTACATAATTAATTCTATTACAAGATATCCAACACTGTTTATACTATCTATATAACAGCACCCTTGCCCTTTGAATGAAATGAAAAAGAAACTATAATTTATGCAGTTGTTTCAGCTATAAAAAACCCTTTACAACACAGCTTGTTGGCATTTCATCAGCATATTGCTTCATTATTCTCCAAGTGGAATAAACCTATTATTATAAAGGATTTAGCCACATACAGGATGACAATATAACAACCCATTTCCTGTGTATGATCAAATTTGCCACAGATTCAGATATTTCTGACAGAATAAAGATTATAGACCCAAACTGCTCTGTTATCTGGTATCATACCTGTCTGAATGAGCCACTCTGCCAGCAAATTGACAGTCTGTGCCACTGCAGTGTAGTTTTCAGAGAGGAGCTGAATAACATTCTCTGGAGATCCTCCTGCTTGGAAATATCTGATAAAAGGATTACAAAATAACTATTTGAGTCATATTAAAACCGAAAAACAATCAAACTCTAAATTTAAAGGGAAAACAACAGCACCATTTATACATTTGCACACATTTCCATAGGAAGTGATACCTCTAACACACTGTAACACACATCAGGTCACACTCACCTCTTTAACGTGTTAAATATAGAGGGTTCCATTATATAGTCAGGGGTTGAAAATTTCTTCAGGCACTCCTGCTGAACTTCGGCATCATCTTCTCCCTCACCGTCCTCATCATCTTGCTGTTCACAAGCACAGTCAGGTCAGCTTCCCCCATCCCGTTTCCCCCCACACTCCCATATTCAGGATCTTTTTGCCCACAGCAGCACACACACCTCGAACCTCGGCTCAGCACTGCAAGCGACCTGCGCCCCGACAGGCAGCGATTATTAAGGGAGAAGGCACAAAAACCAGCACCGCCTTCCTCCTGTTTACCCCCGGGCCCGGCGCAGCCCCGGGCCCTGCCCTCACAGCCGGCGCTTCTCGCCTCAGCCTGGAGCCCCCGCTCCGGCCCGGGGGACGCTCCGGGACCCATCCGGGGGTCGGTCCGGGTCCCTCCCGGGGAATACTCCAGGATTCTCCCGGAGGATGCTCCGGACTGAGGGGAATGCTCGGAGGTTGTGCCCAGGGGTTGCTCCGGGACACGCCTGGGGCTGCGGCCATCCCTCGTCCCGCTCCCCCCGGCGCTCACCGCGCCCCCGTCCGCCTCGCTGCCCCACTCAG